ATATATATATATATATATATATATATATAATTCGCCAGAAACTAGGGCACAACAAGACCAAGACGACCATGCAGGCTATATATAGATACGCCAGAGCAAGCAAGACGCAGGCAAACCCTCCCCTCCCTTAACTTGCCTGCCCATCGTTGGTCTCGAGACATGCGCACTGCGGTGGAACTACAGCCCCCACCCCTTTCCTGCACCACCCTCGCTTGCCAGACAGCTCGCGGCGTATGGTAAGCCGCGGGTCGGCGTGAAATAAAAAGTGTGCCGTGACGTATCATGAAAAGGGGGCGAGGGGTGTAGCAACATTGGCATTCCTAAATGTGCGTAACTTGAGTTCATGTTTGTGTCAAGTAACTTTAGTAGATGGGAAGTTGACTGCGTGACGCTGTCACCAATGTTTGACGGGCTACATCTTATTGTCATAATTTTGCCTTATGTTTTCACAGACGAACTCTCCAAGATATCGCTTAAATAGCACTCATTAGAAGTAGTATCACGGTAATGGTTAATCCACGGTACGTTCAATATGCACGTGACGTATTTTTTTTTCCGGGCTACGCCAGTGGTTCTTAAAATGTTCCGAAGTCTTGCGCCCTTGCCAACGTTAGTATTTCACCATAAGCCGGATTTAAGTTCAAACAACTACACTTTGTAGGGCACTAAGCGCCATCTAGTAACATCGAACATGAGTTACTCTAGTGGTTGACTGGTTACTGTTTGCACCACGACCTCTAGATGTCACACTGGATTAAAAGTAAAAACAAAAGTATGTAATTTGTGTAATATTACACAACTCCCCTGTGAGGAAATCCAAGCAACCCAAGGACATGGCTATGCCGATGAATAACGGCGCCTGTGGTGAAGCCGGAAAATGGTGTCCCTTATTATGGGAAAAAATGCCCCACCCCCGGGCAAACCATTTTAAAAAATCGAATTTTTTAAACCCCTTACTATGAAGTGTATGATATTTTTAGAGTTATTTTTAATTCACTGATGTTGGCGCCCGGGGCGACTACCCACTTAGCCCCATTCTCGGGGCTCAGTGACAACGGGGTACTCACAGCGACGTGGCGGATATTCTGACAACCACTGGGTTCGCCAAAGAGTTGGCCGGAAATTGTTGTGACGACATAATTATCAATAAATTATTTGATTTCGTTGCGTAAGAACCATATGGATGGCCACAAAACCCAAAAATTCATCCGCGAAACCCAGGTCCTACAAATTAACCAATGAAACGGAATTTTCTAAGTTCCATGAAGAAGTTCGATGGAGCAAAATAACATTTTACCAAAAAGTAACTTTCACAATCATTTGTTAAAAAAACTGGTCATAAATTACAATATCAAAGACTTATTTTTAGTCGTCTCCCGTCACTCCCATTCTATCTGCACCCGCCCGTGAACCTGATAAGGTTAGATCAAAGAAATATCTCCAGCTTAAGTAAGAGCAGCGGTTCTTAGGAGCTTAAACTCAGTAATCACCAATGTTCAGCGGTGCCTAGCCTGAGAACAATCAAGTGTTTAGCATGTTATGAGGTTTCAAAAAAAAAAAAAATTAGTTTCGGACAAGAAACAATGAAAGTATAATATATCCTTAGCATGCGGTTGATATAAGTGGATTTTCAGCAAACAAAAAAGTGTATATATAAATATACAAACACGTACAAATATTCTAAAATCTGCACATTTTTGACGGACATATTGTTAAAAATACCTCATGAAACTAAAAAAAAAAAAAAATCAAACATCTGTAAGGGACAATACCTTATATCTTTTTAATCAATCTATGTCGTGTGATTATGACGTGAATGCTAATTACATAACATTATTTTATTGTAAAGCATTCTCCTTGTTGGCGAACGGCTTCGATTAGGATCGTACATTTAGGTATACATTTCAAGCAAAACAAAAGAAATCACAGACGCTAAACAATGGTTCTCAACCTTCCTAATGCCGCCGACCCTTTAATACAGTCCCTCAAGTTGTGGTGACCACCCCCCCCCAGAGGCATAGCGAGGGCGTTTGGCGCCCGGGGACAAGATCAATTTTTTCAACTCTCAAACTCATTATTTTTACCAATAATATAATATCAAAGCACATTTTGGCGCCCCTAACTAGCTTGCGCCCGTGGACATCTGCCCCCGCCCCTCTTGTTACGCCTCTGCCACCCCTACCCCA